AAATGAGGGCCAACGGCGGCGTCCCTGGGGAGCGGGCACCGGGACGGAGTGTGGAGACCCTGGCTTCTGGAGCTAACCAGCTTCGGGCCTTCAGACAAGGCAGTTATCGTTTCTGGGCCTGTCCCTTGTCCTGGGAATGACAAGCGTCGCGCTGAGATGTGAAGGCAGCGCCGAAGCTCTACCCTCCACTGTTTCCCCGAAGGTTAGGCAACCGCCGCGAGGAACGGGGACACCCACCGGGCACTTGGAGCAACGGCCTGGTGACCAGCCACCTCCAGTGCAGCTTCCGCTGAGAAGCAGAGCCAAGGGTTAAACGGCTGAGGTTAGTTCAGGCCAGGAGTGAAAGCAGACCCTGCCGCCACTGCCCCAGACACGCCAGAGCTCATTAAAATACCATAAAGCCACCGAAAGTGACCGGCACTCTAAGGAACAGAGGAGAGGGGGGTCTTTTCTCCCCACTCTTACTGGGGAGATAACTGGGCTCCAGTCAAACTTCTTCACCAGCTGGTTCTGTAAGAACACGGGCACTCTCACGCACAGAGGGCAGCCCCTTGTTCCCGCGCCCGACGGGCTCCTCTCCCCCTCCAGGGCTCATGTCTGCCGAGCAGGAGGCAGCTGCACAGAGTTTATATCCTCTCCTCCTCGCACAGCTGGGGCTTCGCTGAGTCCTGAGGATTGGTTCAATCCCCAGGACGGGAGACCCATTAACAGCCGTGACAACAAATGAGCCAATCGGGAAAGCCAAGGTTGGGAGGGTGAAACAACTACGTCACCGCAACTTTAATTAAACCCGAGGCTGGGGATTAAAACAACAAACAAAACCGTGCCGGGCACGTCTGGGCTGCACTATAACCGCTTATTGACAGAACCCTGCCAGCCTTTCCGCCAGGCCCAACCACCACGGTGCCTGTCCAGCTCTCCCAGGCCTCGGTGCCCACACCTTCCGGAGTTCCCCAGACACCTGGCTGCAGTCGTGTTGGCACCAGGTGTGGGTAGCAACTTGTCTTGTCACAGAGCCATGGCCACAGATCTCTGTGGACAAACACATCTCGTCTCTCCACTTGGAATGCCAGAGCCTCCAGGGCCAGGATAAAGTCCTAAACCTCTGGGTATTCTAGGACTTTCCATCTCTTATCTCCAAGGCCTAATGCAGAACACCATACCCTGCCGTGACCCATCCCGCGCCCACGGCAGACAGCACTAATCTATCCCAGCATTCCTTGGCACTGAATCTCAGGTCCTTGCCCAGGAGGGCAGGGCGAGCCACTACTCATTGATGGGAGCTGATGCTCAGAGTAAAACCAACCTGCAATGCTTCTCCGGTGCAGTCAACGGTTCTCCAGTGGGGGGAATTTTGTCCCACAGAGGACATTTGGTAGCTGTACATGAGGACAGAGACGGTGGGTGGTCCTGGCGTACAGTGAGTAGAGGCCAAGACAGTGCAAACAGCCAGCAATGCACAACACGAGCATCCCAAAGAGAATGGCCTGACCCCAAATGTCCAGTGTGCCAGTTTAAGAAACCCCGACGTAGGTGGAGTAACCACATGCCTCATCATCTACACCAGGATGCTTCTCTAAGTGACAAGGGGTGCTGTGATACCAACTCCAGGACAACAGGCATGCGCCAGGGCTCACAGGCAAACCAGGGCACTTCCGAGAGGAGAGACAGAGGGAGGTCCCTTGAAAGGGCCAAACAACTCATCTCATAAAAGTCCCCAGACAAAGCCACCAACTACCCTATTTGCCAGAATAAATGCTAGTCTGTCATAAGCCACAACCAGCAGAGAGGAAATCTTTTTCTTCTTGTTTAGAGAAAAAGCAGAAAAGGGACTATCTGGCGTGCCTTTTAAGATGTGAGTGGCAGAGAACAAACCTGCTCCCCTCAAATCCAGGGGGGCAGCATGTGCTAAGATATGCTCTCGAAAAGAAAGGAGTTCATTCTAACAGCCTGCTGACCCTGAGGCTCCCTGCTGACACCCGACTTAGGGTACGAACCAAAGGCTCCTCCTCAAGAACCTTCTTCACTACGAACCATTTTGTCATAACAGGGGCAACTTCTGTTAATTAACTTCCTCCCTGCCCCAGAAACAAGAGGCCTACTGCTAATTGCTTTGCAGGTCAACTGTGTTTAACAAGAGGAACTTGGAAATGTCTCAGTCAGTCAACACGGGAGTGTAAGAACTACAGCAAGGCAAAAATTAACTGAAGGTGAGCGAGAGCCTCTCAGACAGAGGGTCACAGCGTATGTGGACCCGGCACCTGCACAGACCGTTACAGAGAAGCACCAGGATCTCAGTTCCCCGTACCCACAAATGAATGTCCTATCTCTGGTCTCCAGAGGACGAAACACCCATGCACTTGCCCTCATAATTTGGGGCCGCCCCTCGGTTAGTATCAAGGCCATTCTGTTATGGCCAAGACTTCCTCCTGGTCAGCACAAAGGAAAGTTCTAGCCCTCTGCGCAGTTTTATTTTTTAAAATGATCTCCAATGTGTAGAGCTGACGTTCACCCCTGCATTTTTTGTTGTTGTGGTTGAACAAACGAAACAGGGACGAATCTCTTTGCAAAGGGATCGAACAGGTTGTCGGGGAGTCCAGTTCCAAGAACGTCAACTGCAGGGGCCATGTTTGCATCATTACTTTTGTCACAACAGCTCGTCTGAAAATGAAGCAAGCCCACTCGATGAACACGGTTCATTCCAGCACCCAGGTGTGGGCGCATTCCCAATTCAGGAGTGCGGAGCGCAGGAATACTCCGGATGCACGTCCTGGACCTGGCCAATTACAGGAGCCAGGAGAAAACGGACACCCAACTTCTAGAGACAGGACTCGGGCTCTTCCGGAAACTCATAGAATATTCTTCCGCCAGACTGCTCTAGTTAGCGCTTTGAAACAGACACACCACCTTAACGCTGAAGGGCTGGCTTCCGCAAGGAATTCCGATAGACGTGACCGTAAGCCAGAGGCTGGGCCCAGCCTGTGCACCACTCACAACTCACCAGCCCGGGAGCCCAACGCCTTCTCCTCAGCGCTGCGTGTGTGTGCAGTACACACAGACCGACGTGCTACCACTGCATTTACTCTTAAAGATTTATTTATGTATTTTATTGATTTTGGGAGAGAGAACGGAACATCGATTTGTTGTTCCACTTTTCGTGCACTCATTGGTTGATTCTTGTATGTGCCCTGCCAAGGGATTGAACCCACAGCCTTGGTGCCAGCAGGACAACACTCTAACCAGCTGACCTACCCAGCCAGGGCCAGGCTACCATTTTAAACCACTAAACCGAAGACAAAGTTGCTAACACCACAAGATGCGTCACTGTCACTGCCTAGGTTAATTACAAAGTTTAAAGAAATAAAGGAAACACGTGTAATAGGACATGAAAACCCACTACCAATGTAAGATAGGAGAATATGGCCCTGCCTGAAAGTTGCACTTGACTCCAAGGTACAGTAAATGCAAACATATGCCCGTAGCCCAGCTAAGCACTGGGAATATAAAGGCAACACAAACCCTGTCCATGTTTAGGAGAGAAAAACAAATATGTAAACAAACATCTAATTCAAATAAAGTATTGCCAGGGCGCTTATGCAAACCGAGCCCACACAGCCTCCCTGTGGGACAGTAATGCTTCAGTCAGTCGCGTCTTTAACAAAAGACGGGGACCTGCCAGGTGCTGCAGGCAGAGGGACGGGTGTGGCGGTTTGAGGCAGAGAGGCTGTTAGAGAAATGTAAGGGGTTCCGTGCCACCGGGAAGCTGCAGAGGTTGGCGGGGCCGATGGCAGAGGGCACTGTGTGTGCTGGAGGGCTGCAGGGGTGGGCCAGGGGCAACGAGGCGCCTTTTCAAGATTTTAAATTGGGATATGATCAGATTTGCATTCTAGAAAGAGGCCTCTGGTGGAAACAGAGAGAGGAACTCCACTAAAAAGTGAAGGTGAGGAGGCCATAGCAATCATGCAGACGAAATACTGTGGGGGCCTGCACTAAGGCCGGGCCACGGGGATAAGGAGGGGCAGGAGAGCAAAACGTGACGAGAGATGGAATCTGTAGGAAGTGCTGAAGGGCTTGGAGAAAGGGCTGAGGAAGAGAGGACAGTGCAAGATGAGCCAGCTTCCAGGCCTGGATGAAAGGCTGAGCGGAGAAATGGCAGCTGGGAGCACAGGGGGCTCGGACGCCGGTGCCAATCCTCAGCCAGAAAGTGATGGAGGGGCCAGCGGAGTGAAGGGTGCCATCCTCCAGAGGAATACGCAGAGCGAGCGGACAAGACCTTGGGGAGCACCAACGTGCAGGCGGAGGGAAGGAACAGGAAAGAACTACACAGCTGGGGAGGGCAGAGATTAGGAGAACCAGAGAGAAGGTCACAGGAAGGAAGGGCTTTCGAAAGGGAGTGGTCAACACTGTCCGATGCCGGGGAAAGGGCAAGTAAAATAAGGACTCATCAGTACAATGGATTGCCCAACACAGGGGCGAGGGTGACCTTTGTGGGGCAGTCTCAAGCAGTGGTGGGGCCAGCCGTGCAGGACGCTTCCCCTAGAGAACCCTGCTGTGATGGGACGGAGGCAGCAGGGACCAGCTGGAGTGGGGTACAGAATTCAGGGGAGCCTTTATGTCTGTTTTTTAGTGGGAAAAACTCAAGCATGTCTCCAGAGCTTGGGGAAGCGAGTGAGAGGTAAAAAACAAGGAGGAAAGGGAGTAACAGGTAGAAGAAGGGGCCTGGAAGTGAGAGGACTGGTGCAGGAAGAGCTTTTGACAAGAATGAGAAATTGGGAAATCAAAGCTTCTACAACTTTCTATCAACATAGAAGCATGCCCTTTATAACTGTCAGTCTTGACTCTCACACAATGGCTTACGGACCTCCATAATGCACAGCCCCATCACCAGTGCATCGGCCACCAATCCGGCCGCTAGATCACCGGGACTAGCGAGTGAGCCCCTGCGAGGGTGCCGGCCAACGGCAGGTGAAGAGAGCCACCTGGAAGGCCGTGGCACTCACCTTGCATCATACTCCTGTAGGCGGTGTCTGTGATGGCGTAGATGTGCGGGGGCATCTCGTGCCTCTTCTTGCCCTTGTACATGTCCACGATCTCTTCAGAGTAGATGGGCAGGTTCTTGTAAGGATTGATGACCACACAGAACAGGCCCGAATAGGTCTGAAGAAAAGAGCAGCAAATGGGAACGGGTTAGGAAGTGTCACTCTCAGCGGCGTGCAAACTGGTGGCACAGATCCGCTGCCCCCGAGGCCCCCGGGCCAGCCTGATGGGAAAGCGCTGCCTGGAGGCCCGCGCTCCCTGGGCCCCGCTGCCCCGTGGGGGCACCGGCACCATCTCTGCTGTCTTTGGGAGAGGGTCCTCCCTCAGCGGCAGGACAGCGGCAGGCTTTGCCTGTGGATGAGCGTGTGCCTTGGGCAAGGTCCGTGGCGAGCTTCACAGAGTGCATAAGTTCAGTTACGGAACCTGGTTCCAGGGACAAAAGGAGGTGTTCGTCATTGTGACACGCACAAAGAGAAAAGGGTTCAGCTGCAGCGAGTAAACTGAGTAGAAACACAAATCATTCTACCCCGAAGGAGTCTCAGAGACCCTCCAGGCTACACCCTCCTGGCACCGTGCTCCTTAACCAGCAAGATCTTTTGTGGGCTGGCAGACCACAGACAGGTACCTGCCTCCCTGGAATCTTCTGGAGACAGTCACATGAAAATCTCTGCAAGGCTTAGACCACTTTCATGTCCCCTGTGACCTTCTCCAAGACTCAGGGCTTCTCTTAAAGGGAAGCCCATCAGTCAGTACCCTTAATGTGAGGCACCCAAACACACTCTCAGGGCTCCAAGTCCGACCTGACCAGGTTAAAGTCAGGCCCTGGGGGCATGTGTCCCAAGTTCAAGCCCCAGCAAGGGCAAGTTTCTGAACCTCTCTCCCCCTCCCTGTCTCAATCTGTAAGAGACAGAAGACAGGGACAGAATAAAGCAGGTGAAGGGAGGCCCAGGTCACGACTCACACACACCTGCAGCCCTGGACAGTTGATGACGGAGCTAGGAGCAGGCCCAGTGTCACGCCCTGCACTGCAGACCCCTTTGGTCGTGGAGGCCAGTTCTCTGAGCTCCTCACATCTTCTTCTTGATCTCATTACAAGTGGCCTCCGCCCTCCCTGTCCATGGCTTTGCCCCTGGACCCAACAGCAGCCAGAGTCTGAAGAGCTGCATTACGGGTCAACCCAGCCCCTTGTACCTCTGCCCTCTCTACTCCCACCAAACCTAAGGATGGACCTTGCAGCTGAATGCCCAGACAGGGTCCGCCCAGGAACCAGCCATGAGGACACAGGCTCTACCCAGCGTTGGCCAAGGGCTGCGGCACTTGGACGTTCCAGGCATAAGTTAGACTGAAAGCAGAACTCTAGGGGGACCCAGCAACCCTATGCTGGTCCACGTGCAAAAAGGCGGCTGAGTTTGGACGTGAGCAAGTGGGCCTGGGTGCCTCTTCTGTTCGGGGGGAGGGGTGCAGAGCCCTCAGTTTCCTTCTTTCCTGGGATAATCAGTCATTTGTTTCCCCTCCAACTACTCTTTACAGAAGGAGCCAGGAAAAGCTCTGAAGCAAAGAGTCCCCAACGTGGTGTGGGCGGGCGGAGGCTCAGGTGCAGCGGGGACTCCTGTTACCCCTCCCTGTGACTGCAGGGTCGGACGAGATAGAAGGCCAGGGAGCAGCAAGGTCATCCCAGGAGCTCCGAAACAATCGAGCTTTGTTCCCGGGGGTTTGAGAAAACCCACACTCCAGGGAAGTCCAGCCCAAGGAAAGTGAAGGACACACAGCCACACGCTTAGGGCATGCCACGGAGCCAGATGTTTGGGAACAGCTGGCGGTGACAGCAGAAAGGGCTGGGGGTTACTAGGACAGTCTCTCTGACAGCTGGGTGGGCAGATGGCCCTGTGGAGAGTTCTCTGGGCTAATCCCACCGAATGAGTGGATTTGCCCAAACAGAGCCCTGGGGAGTGAGCGCAAGCAGCTCAGGTGGGAGAAAGAGGTTCGGCCAAGAGCCACCCTCTCTGGACGCCCGTGAAGGCGCAGACACTGAGCAAGTGGCTCTGCTCCCACACGGGCCACGCCAGGAAGCAGCTCCATTCACGGGCCACAGAGGCTCTTTGTGTCCAGCTGCCCCCGTCCCAAGGCCTCGCCCACCCCGAAGGAACAGACAGAGCAGCTGTGGTGCAGAATTAGCCACACCACCCACGGAGCCAGGCAGACATGCTGCACAGAGGCTCCGGGTGTCGCAATGCGGGATGTCGTGTGCGGAGAGGTAGACTGTGATGGGGGTGGTGGTGTGCCCCCTGCCCAGGCAGCCCCACCAAGCGACTCTGACCTACCCACAGCTCGGCACCTGCTGGGCTCTTCGTTAGGGCAACCACAGGGACAATCAACTCCCCCTCTGGAGGTGACACCTCAGCAGAGGCTGGGCTGCGGCAGGAGGAACTGCACACGGGAGGCGACCGCGGAGAGGCCAAAGTGGGAGTCTGTGCCTCTAAGCCAGCGAGTTCCAGAGAAAAAGTGCAGGGCCACCCACCGTGCCGGCCTGAGGAAACCCGCACTTTCAGAGGGAGGATGAAGCAACCGACGCTGAGTGCATTTTGAGAACTAATTTCCCCTTGTGTGCGCCAGGGAAAGACCATGTGCAGCCAGCCGACACAGGCAACTGCAGGCCAACCGCTCGGCTCCCGCTCAGCAAACCTCTAGCAGGGCCCAAGGTGAATGGTAACACCCACAGAAGACCCAGCAGAGGGAGACAGGTGAAGCTTCCTTAGAGTCCCTTTGTTTTTTGCAGGTCACTAATTCTGAATTTCACTGGTGAATATCCCTAGGGGCAGGGGTTTTCAATTTGGTCCAGACAGTATTCTCACCAAGAAACAGAGATAACTGGGTGGGTTAGGAAGCCGAAACTCTAGTCCCAGCCCTGTCACCCTCTCTGTGTGAACTCTGCGTGAGCCGCCTGCCCGCTCTGGGCCTTAGTTCTTCCCACCTAGCTCTTCCAGGTAGATAGTTCTGTGTATCACCTTACTGACAGGTCCTTGACTAATCAGGCCCATCCCCAAAATGTTGGTCATCGATAGCAGGAAACAAGGACCTCATTATCACAGTCCAGTTTAGCAATCAGCAAGGTAAGACAGCCTGGCACAGGGCCCAGCCCGGTCAGGACTTCTGGACAATCCCAAATGGCCCATGGCTCAACAGCGGGCCTTGGCACGTTGCAGGGCACTCAGAAATACCAGTGCAGTGACTCAGTAGATTGAGTGCCGGCCTGTGAACCAAAGGGTCACCAGTTCGATTCCCAGTCAGGGCACAGGCCTGGGTTGCAGGCCAGGTGTCCAGTAGGGGGCGCTCGAGAGACAACCACAGATTGATGTGTCTCTTTATCCCTTTCTCCCTTCCTTCCCCTCTCTCTAAAAATAAATAAATAGCCCTGGCTGGCGTAGCTCAGTGGATTGAGCGCGGGCTGAGAACCAAAGTGTCCCAGGTTCGCTTCCCAGCCAGGGTACATTCCTGGGTTGCAGGCCAAAACCCCCAACAATTGCACATTGATGTTTCTCTCTTTCTCTTTCCCTCTCTCTCTCTCTCTCTCTCCCTCCCTTTCCTCCCTAAAAATAAATAAATAAAATCTTTAAAATAAATAAATAAATAAATAAAATCTGAGAGAGAAGAGAAGAGAAGAGAAGAGAAGAGAAGAGAAGAGAAGAGAAGAGAAGAGAAGAGAAGAGAAAACACCAGTCCAGGGGGGTAAGGGTAGCACCCCGGCGAAACATGTGCTGAAGTCAGCCTGAAACCATGTAGAAAAGAAAAGAAATGGCTCCTTGAGAGCCTCTCACCAACCCCATAACAGGATGAGCCCAGTGCCTCCTTTCATGACACATGTGGTCACAGGTAAACCCCTCGGAGTGAGATTTAGTATTTTTTTTTTTTTAGATTTTATTTATTTATTTTTAGAGAGGGGAAGGGAGGGAGAAAGAGAGAGGATCAATGTGTGGTTGCCTCTCAAACGGCCCCCACTGGGGCCATGGCCTGCAACCCAGCATGTACCCTGACTGGGAATCGAGCCTGTGATGCTTTGGTTTGCAGCCCGCGCTCAATCCACTGAGCTACTCCAGCCAGGGCAGATTTAGTATTTCTATCTATAAAATGATAGGGTTGTAATGACCAAAATGCTTTCTTCTTCCCGTTCCAAAAAATGTTGAGAACTGTTTTATTCAGCTCCAAGACCAAGAAAAACAAGGTGAATATAACAGCATAATTAAATAAAGAGCTATTTTAGGAATAATAAGAACCAGATATTTCTTCCCTACTGAGGATAAAACTAGAAGGAGATGTATTTAAAGTGAACAGAAGAAACTGGGATAGATATTACAGAAAGAACACTGGGACCCTAGGGCCATAAGAGCTTGGAACCTATTACACCAAGGGAATGGGGGTAATGCTCACCTCTTGACACTTTCTACAACGGTGATGGGCCGTCCGTCTGCAAACACAGCCCTGCGAGCTAGGGGGAGGCGAAAAGGCCGCTCCTATCTTTTGCATGCTGCACGCCTTTGCCCGTGCTGTCCTCCGCGCTCCCCGCCTGGCACAGAACCAGCCTAAAGTGCTGAACAAACTGGCGGTCCAAGTCTTCCTCTAGGTAGCCCGCCTCTGCTCAAGGCACACTCCCCAGGGAAGTGAGCCTTACGGACAGATGGTGGGGGGGGACCAGGGGGTGCAGGAGGAACAAGGTGGGACACCAGGACACGGCATTCCCCTCCTCGAGAAGGAACCGACCACACTGGCCTGACACTTCCATCTCCGCCAAGACTGAGGACCAGGGCCAGTGCCTGAACACACCTCACATGCGTCACGTTCTGCCTACGCCTGGTCCGAAACAGGTTCCTGTTGTGTTTTTGGCTATGTAGAGGGGAGATCAAAGTAATGCTATCGGAGTATTCCGTTAAGGTGTTCAGTCGCTGAAGTTTGAGGATGTCACCCCAGCATTCCTTTACGCCCCCTTCTCTCCGGGAGAGCCAGAGCCCGGGGTCGAGAGGGCTGGGGCAGACCTGGGGCCCCCTGCCCCAGCACCCAGCCCCACTTACGTAGATGAGCCCCGAGTAGTAGCGCTCCTTGAGGTTGTGCAGCACGGAGGCTTCGTTGAGGCACGTGAGCTCCGCCATGTCCTCCACCTTGGTGAACTTGGGCGGGTTCATCTTCTGGATGTCATCCTTGTTCACCTTCACCTTCTTCCCGTTCTCCACCAGCTCCACGATGGCCTCCTCACCCACCTCTTCCTTGAGGCTGGCGGGCTCAAAGCCATTCTTGTCGGAAGGCACCCATACCAGCTTCTTGGCGGCCCAGTCAGCCTGGGCCAAGGGGTTATTGATGACATTTTTATCCACATAGAGATACTTATCAGCAGCTTGCTGCGCCATGGTGACTCACGGCCAGGACCTGAGAGAGAACACAGGATAAACATTAGATATATCCAACTCCATGAGCCACAGGAGAAAACTGAACATTCACCTCTTATCTTTGCAAACTGCGTAGCATTATAGTGCAGTAAAACTCCATAAAACCAGGCTGCACAATTTGCCAGAATTTTCCTGCTTCTACTTTTGGGAGAAAGATGTACATCACAGGGAAAACAAGTTGGTGTCAGGGCTGCTATAAGAATTTAATGGTAAGCTATATCCAAGAATCAACACACAATCAAACTAATTATACACAATTGCTATGCCAAATGATGAGCACTAAGCATCTCAAAGACAGATGCAATTACACCGACTCTGCTATGCCTGCAAAGGCAGGACAGCGACCGTACAATTGAAGAGATCTTCCAACATAAACAGGTTCCTCACTAGCCAAAAAATGGGCTACTGGCTGTCATCACACAGGGTGGAAGTTTCCAGTTTAAAAAACTTTTTCTTCTTTTCAGGAGTCAGCCAAAAGAAAATAAAACCACACATTGAAAGAAAGAACCAATGTGTGGCCAATAGATTTTAATTCCGTCATGATAACACAGCCCCGAGAAGCAAGGCGAGAAGAAATCAGGTCCCAGTAAACCTCGCGGAGCACAGTGGGAGGCGTTCTGCCTCCCTCTCCGGGGCACTCATGTGAAAAGGCAATCCTCACAATCAGGGGCCAGGAAAACTTGAAGCACATGTGTGTTTGCTTTTATTGAAACTCATTTGCAAAATAAAGATGATGAAATAATAATCCCTTACACCTGTGTGGTTTTAGTGCTCATAAAAGGCTTTCACACGCATTTCGCCATCTGGAAAGGTCCCTGTCACAACCACCCTGAAAGGTGGGTGAGCTGCGTGTTATCAGCCCACTGTACAGGTGAGGAAATAAAAGCCCCGGGAGGTGAGGGGCTTGTGCGGAGCCGCCCAGGAAGCCCCCCAGACTCCTGGTCCCGTGGCCTTTCCACAGCTCAACCACGGAACTGATTCCCATTCAAAGGCACAGGCTCGGGTCGGCTCAGAGGACAGCTGCCCCGAGCGAACCAAAAGCAGGACTCGGAAACCCTGAGTCTCAGCCAAAGCCAGCCCTCGGCCACCAGAGGGGCAGCCCAGAAGCCCGCTGCCAAGCTCACAACACAGGCAGGCTTTTCCCTTGTGAGATCAAGCCCCCTCACCCCAGGCCCAGGGAGCCAGGAGGACCCCAAATCCAAATCCAGAGTCACACAGGTTTTCATGCTTCCAGACTCCAAAAGGGACACAGATGCCAAGGAGGTTGGAGGCTGAAGATGGAGAAAACAAAAGGAAAAGTCTGGGCTGCCCAGGCCTTCTTATCTGGGCTCATTAAATGGTTTCCAGATCAAGGCTAAGGGGCTCCCCTGGACTCGCTCCACGAGAGGCTGTTTTCCAGGAAATCTGCCTGCTGCCCCCATGGAGGGGAGGCAAGTCCAAGGAACAGAGCCTGGCAGCCTCCCCAGCTCCCCCAGCTGGTGGCTTGGTTTATATTCCCAGCACAAGCAAACCCCCCCAGCAGCCCCTCTCAGGGGACCAGGGCCACCATCCACCTGCAGGGACCACCCCCAATAGAAAGCAGGGTCCAGAGTTAGGCAGCAGCAAACTAGGCATGAACAGGACAGCTATAAACCACCTGGCCAGCCCTTGTCTTCTGTGAGGGTCTGGGGGCGCGGCAGGTGGCAGCACCCCGGGCACCATCAGCTTACTTCCAGCTGGGCTGGCTTCCACACTGGGCAGTCCATTCAAGCAATCAAAGGCCTCCTTCTGCCAGCCTGAATGCCAGTTGTCCTCTGCCTGTCTGCCGTTTATCTGACCACAGGCCAGCTGGCCTCTCCAAAGTCTCAGTACTTGGGGTCCCAAAACAACAGTCTCCCCATCATGTCACTGCCCTGCCCAAGAATTTGCAACAAGCCCTGCCAGGTAGCTCAGCTGGTTGGAGCATTGTCCCAGTGCATCAAAGGTTGTGGGTTCAATCCCTGGTCAGGGCACATGCAAGAACTGCCGATGAACACAGGAAGGGGTGGGACAACAAATTGATGTTTCTTTCTCTCTCTTTCTTTCTCTCTCTCTCTTTCTCCCCCCCTTCTTCTCTCTCTCTCTCTCAAATCAATAAATAAAAATTTTTTTAATTAAAAAAAAAGAACTTGCAATGATCACAGAGCACAGGGCCTTACAGGCTGCTGCTGATTCTCAATCTTTTTGCAAACTTCAAACCCATAAACTTCAAACACAATCTCCCATCAATCTGCAAAAAGGGAGTCACCTGAACCCTGTCCCCCCAAATCCTAAGTCCACCACTGGATGTGAGTGCCACTGACCCAGCTCCGCGAAAACCCCTGAGGACATCCCACGCCACGTACAAGAGCCCTCCAAGAGAAGGAGGAAAAGGGACAGTCATTAAGTATGCAGATACTGCCAATATCAAGTTCTGTTTATCACAGCCTCACTTAACCATCGATCACCTGGGAAAAGAGCTTTTATTACCCCAATTTATAAATGAGGAAACAGCCTCAGAGACAGCAAGTCATTTGCCCAGAGTCTCCCAGCCCAGTCATGACGCAGGATCCTAACCCAGACCCGCCTGGCCCCTGGGCCTGGGCTCTTCCCAGCACACCGTGCCTGGGGTCTCACGAAGAAGTCAGGCTGGCGTTGGAGCTGGGCCGAATCTGTTGATAAGCTGAGTGGGACCTGGGGAGCACAGAGGTAGGCATTCCACAGCTTTCAACAAACATTTACTGAGCAAGCAGGTGGGGGCGCTGAGAATGCGCCCTCCCGGCGTGGACCATGCGGCCAGTCAAACAGCAGAGCACAGTGAAACCGCATTCTCACGCCCATGAGTGCTGATCAAATAAATCTGGCCCTCCTCGAACTCCATTTCATTCCAGCAACGCCACCCCTGGTGGGCCCCACAGTAAAGAACCTGTCTGGAGGCCTGGCATCGAAGCAGCGCCTGGGTTCCCCTCAGGCTGCAGGCCCTGGGCACTTGGCCTGCTCTGGAAATCCGGTCTGCAGAGCCACAAACAATGCAGTAGCTGTGGGGAAATCCACCCAGCCCACCACCCCCCTCGGCTGGTCCCACCCTGCCTTCAGGCCCTGGAAGGAGGGAGCGGGCAGTTACAGGCCAGCACTGTCCCCATCTGACAGCTACCAGAGGCCCAGGGGCCAGGCCATGCTTCCTGTAACAGAGGGGACACCCTCCATTCCCTCAGAGCTGGACCCACACAGAGGGCTGCGGTGACAAGGCACCCGTGGACGGTGGGCTTGAGGTGTGCCCACTTGCCTCAGTGCCTCTCTCTGCGCAGAACTTCTCTTTAAACACACAGGGCCCCTGCTGAGCCAGGCCAAGGACAGAGCTATCTGGTTTCAGCAATTCTGCTGGAATGACACAGGGGAGCAGCAGCACCAAGATCGATAGGTGGGCTGGACTGATGGGGAGGACCACAGAGGTCGCAGTACACAGCGGGACCCAGCCCGGACAGGCACACCCATATCCAAGGCCACAGGGCTGCAGCCGAGCTCCACCTGTGTAAGGTACAGCAGCTGCCGAGTCGTGTACACCCAGTGGGGAGGCCGGGGTGCAGACAAGTTACCTCCTCTCTAAGGACGCAGGCGGACGGAGCAGCCACTGCCAAGAAGTGTTAGAAATGAAGTCAGGGCACTGGGGAAAGGTAGTGAGGAGGCAGCCTACTCAGCGCAGCAGCCGGCAAGCTGCCACTTCCCCCGTCCCATCCTGGGACCCTGCTAAGTGAACTGAAAACTGAATGTAACATACAGGTTTTCAAAATAAAAGAGAAATATCTCCCTAGATTCCTGACCCTTTCCCCCCTCCCCACCCCCAAAATCAGTTTTCTCTTTTTTAAATGGTTCCTTCCAGTCCTGGTTCATAAGAAACACTTGAGTTTTAACTATCTTAAGCAAGGAGTGGAGTTTCCTATTCTACATTTCCCCTACTTCTTATGACCATTTCCCTATATGGTCACAGTTTGTTTGTTAATCATTTTTTCAAGATTTTATTTATTCATTTTTAGAGAGAGGGGAAGGGAGGGAGAAAGAAAGGGAGAGACATTGATGGGTTGCCTCTCACATGCACTTTGACAGGGAACTGAACCTGCAACCCAAGCATGTGCTCCGACAGGGAATCGAACCAGCGACCTCCTGTGTTGTGGGACAACACTCAAACACTGGTCAGGACTGTTCACCGTTTTTACCCAAAGGCTTCGCTTTACAGGTGACAATGCGCAGGCTCTGGGAGGGAAGCACCTCCATTCAGTCACACAGCGGACGGAGCAAAACCTCACATCCAGGACTCCTAACTCCTAACTCCAAGGACTCCTAACTCCAAGGACTCCTAACTCCAAGGCCTGGTTACTGGCCACTTTGAATGGCTACATAAGATTCAAAAGCAGTATTTTTAAAGATCACTACTTACTAGCGTTTCTGCCTCTTATCTTGCAGACCACCTTGAGATCAATTCCCAGAGAGGGAGTTACTGGACCAAAAGTCACCAGGACATTTGTATGGCCCCGAGATGTGTTGTCAAAACGTTTGCCAAAGGGCTCGTTGGTGTGCACGCCCGCTGGAGCAGGGAGTTCGTGTGGTGGCAACCGCACCAGCACGTAGGGCACTGTCTGCAGGAAGGGACTTGGTGGCCCAGATTAGGGGCCCTCAGGAAGCCCTAGGGATCTGCGGGACTCGGCCGGCCGGCCACCCAGGAGTTAAGGAGGAGGAAAGCAGCTCTCTCCCATTGGAGATCCGATCAGGCTGAGGCAGGCCCTTCCAGGCCCTTCCCATGCGGCTTCCTGTGGGTGCCAGTCCAACTCCAAGAAACCCAAGTAGTTGCCTTTTTAGGCCATAATCGAGAGGACACAACCAGAGGCTAAATTAGGACACTCAGGAAATGATGAAACTGAAAGTAAATAGGTTAACCAAAAACCTCTGCTTTCAACCCCAAATGTAATTCCTCGATTATTTGCCTTC